TGCAAACATTAATTAATAATGACAGATGTGCCAACAGTTAAAAAAAATCATGATTTTACCTTTGTTATGGCGGCCGAGTTCTCCGATAGTGATTCTGTGAATTGAGCAAAGGCGGCTTGTTCTTGTTGTATGAAGAGTTGCTCTTGGCGCAAAGTGCGTGCCAAATCCATAATCTCCAAGAGATTGTCCTCCGAATTCGGTTCCATTTTTTTTTTTTTTGTAGTTCGCTTTACGTTTGTATAAATATCCAGTCAATTTAAAATTTTCTTAGTCGCCGTACACTTCCATTACATTGATAGCTAAATTTGAAACAATGGTTTATACTTTCAGTTAATTTGCACTATTCTGTAAACAATTCATCGAGCTATTTGAAAATCTATTGTTGTGTTGTGCAAATAATGTGTTGAACTTGGAATTTGTTAAATATTTCAGATATGAACCAGAAGGAAACTTGCATAACGCCCACACAATTTTTTAATATGAATGAAGAGTACACACATAAATACATACATATGTATATAAAATCAAAGTGATGAAGCAGCTTCTGTTATCTCTCGGATAGGCACCAAAAAACACGCTGACACCCACAGGTTAAATGAATTTGATAATGTCATGTAGAGGGAAGTCGTCCGCATTTTTTTGTATGAATATTTGAATGCTTGTAATTATTGTTTATTGAAAAATTAAATACTATGTCTGCCGGTTGCCTTTGTTAAAAAATGAGGAAGTGAATACACACAAAATATGTATGTATATATATATATATATATATATATATATATTATATTTTCTGTATGTGTGCTTTAAAAACAATATAATTTCCATTAATAGTCGAATGAGGTTAATCTGATTTTCAAATTAATATATGTAAGTACATATGAGAAATATAGCAGAACTCCTGTTTAAGTTTGGATTAAAATAATAGAACACATTAATATATTATATATAGAATATAGAGTGAATAGGATTCGATTTCGGCAACATTGAAAGAACAAGAAGTCTTAATAAATAACTTTAGAAATTTGCCGCTTTGGTTTCTATTACATTATGTATACTAAGATTGTAAGGCAAGAGTTATTGTTGGTGTTGTAGCAGTATAAAGCTTGATGTCAAATCAACACTCCTTGAAAGTATACTTAAACTCGAAATTCCATTCCGATTATGCAAACTCGACTGCCGTAAATATGGGTTAGCAATAAATTGTCTGCAAGGGTTTTACAACGAGTTTTGGCTTTAACATTACAAATTGAAGTAATGCTGGCACTACTTGCTCCAGTGGCTTACATTTGTGTGGTATGAGCGAGTACACAATTATTTATGTATTTGTATTTGTAATTATTTCTTAAAACAAGAATTGTAATATTTGTTAAACAACTGGTACCGAGATCTGCATCAGTAACATGTTGTTAGTATAGTTAAGAACTTTTTTAGTTAACAAATGTTTGTGTTTGGAAACTTATTCACAAGGTCTTTAATAAGTGAGGGTAAAACCTGTTATTTATCGTTTTTTATTATATTTATATGTAACCATCACTTAGACATAAATTTGCGAATTTCTTTTTACTAATATTACAACCTTTGAGCACAAAAAATTGATTTTACGTCAATACATACAGATAGCACCGTATTACCTAAGGAAAATAAAGACTAATTTACTAATACGAATAATGTGAGTAATTATATAATATGAACGACTCATTAGTCAACAAACAATTTGTTTCACACCGATTCGTGACTTTGAATTATCTGCATTATCGAAGAAAAATGTAGACATCAATGAATACTTGCTAAACAAATATATATTCATATAAACTTATATTTTAAGAATATACTTAAACATTTGTATTCGTAGGGCAAGCAATTGTCTCAGTCGTCTTCAAACGTAGTTGTTAGCTTTGTTTTATTTTAAAAAAATATCACTTTAAGCATTTTTATTAGTTATTGAAACTATTCGCATTGAACATTTTAGTTTGTAAACCTATTTTCCTGCACCATTTTTCGAACTTACAATTATGCTTATGCTTAAAAAAAAGTTATGGATAAAGTAAATAACCTAGCAAAACGTACATGGAAAAAACACTAGTAATTGAACTTAGCACAGTAAACAGATATAAACAGTTTGAAGACCAATATCAGGTATGTGTTGATATTTCTATTTTATATTAAGCATGTTGTTTACTTAATTATTCAGGAAATTTTCTTAAGAGCTTTCATATGATTCACTTTATCTTATAAACAGAGCATTTCGTTTTTTTGTTGTGTTAAATACCAAATAGAATTTGAATTGTGTTTAGTTAGTACACTTACATTTAAACATACGTGAAAATGTTAAGCAATGTTCACGACTAATATATACATTAATATATGTATATAAATATATGCCAACACATATGTGTATTGTTTTTATGGGAAACTAACAGTCAAATTAATTTACTTGTCGGCAAACAAATGTATATTTCACGGTTGCCTTCATTTGTAGTATTTTATAATTAGTACAGAATGCAATTACGTATATAAATTATTACCATACAATTTTCCTTGCCCTTTTAATTTACTTTGTCGACAGATGTAAATAACCCTAAATGGTTATAAAACTATCTCCACTATATAAAATATTATACATAAATATTTATATCGTCAATGCCAATGACCATTAGTTGAATTAGTTTTCACAAAACTCGAATAAAGGGGAATGCGGATGCAAAGCTTTTCAAAAACACTACAAAAAGAATACATTTAAAAGCAATGCTCTTAGATATATATATTCGTGATCTGGAAAATCTCCTCTATCCAACCATACCCTTCTTAACCCTGAAATCGTGGGATGCTAAACTAAAGCCGACCCTTAGATTTAAACAAAGTATCTTTTCGAACTTTTTGCACAAGAAATAATAAATTGTCGCTTATGCTTTGTAATTGGATAATAAATGTATTAAATCATTGTTTTGAATCACTACAAACACATCAAAATTATTAACTGGCAAAGGGAAAATAGAAATTTGCTGCTTTCGCAGTTGTAAGCCAAATGACACCGAAGCTAAATATGCATTTACATAGAGCAAAGCAAATATCTACAACTACAACGTCGTTATTTGTATACAAAGTGTTGCAATAATTTTAATTCTCTTACAAAACAATTGAATACCATAAATATATATGTTGGGAGACCAAAAACTCGTTTAGATTTCTTGTACGAATGCTGTGTGTGATAGTACCATATATAATAAGCCCGAGTGTATATATTTGTACAAATGTTTTACTATGACGACTTATAAACATATTAATAAATAAAAGCATTGATGTGGTAAATGTAAAAAAAAACATATTTCAATTATATACATATACGTATATATGTATGTATGTAAGTATGTTCTTATATATTCATATATTTTGGGAGTTTTTAATCAAATATTGTGTATTATAGTAATACAGTAATTTATATATGTAATTTTTTTAAATAATCTTGAACACTAATTTCCGAAACAGGCATTTTTCATAGTATGCAGCCACCACTTGCCATTGCACAACACTTTACAAATTATTTGATATTTTGACGGTATATGTATTTACATAATATATTTTTTGTTAATTTTATTTTAAGCAAAATGCATTTTTGGAACTATTTGTAAACTTAAACTGCGACTTTTAAAAGGAAAAAATAAATTTTGCAAAACCTCAACCAGACGACTAATGTTTTTGACAGATAAAAGCAATTATGGGAATTAAAGAGTTGTAGAAAAATAACTGCGGAACGTTATGAAATGCAGATGAACTGAATATTTGCAACATAGGGTGGTCGCCAAACTGAATATATAATAATAAAAATTAAAGAACACATACTTGAAGATATATATCTAAATATTTGGAATTTATAAGCAAATTATTCAACATTTTATTGCACAAATATGTTGAGGAACTTTTCGAATATATATGAAGAAACTGTTTTTTTTTTTTTGTAAAAATTAAATAATTAGATTTTACATGTGTAACTCTGTTTCATTCCATTTCTTATCTCCGAGAATATTACAGTGGATTCTTGATACATATCGCCATGGAAATAAAGGATAATATGGTACATGAATAATAATATATTTGAAGTATTTGTTAATTTATAACTTTCTTTAATAAATAATATATTTTGTTGATAGTATTTCTACAAGTAATTTTTAAATCGCCATTTAACAGCATTGTTGCCAGTTTAAGTTTGGCTTACAATCGATAGCTACACCATCGAAGTTTAAGAAGATTGCTAAGATCATAATAGTTCGATAAAGGTTGTTTAATAATTTTTTATTGTGAGAATACAATTCCTTTCCTTTTATATTTTTATTTAAAATATGATTTAAATTATGATATTAAGTATGTAATTATGATATTAAATTATGAAATTCAATTATTCCGGCAACTATTGTTAAGGGAAGTCGAATAGTTTTAAAAGTAAAAGCATAATTTTGCTTTATTCTAAAATCTCATTGCAATAAAAACTGTTGTTTAAACAAATTTCCATGTAAACTTCTATATTTTTTTTTGGTTGGCAATAATCCTTAATAGAGTTGTTTATTTACTCAAAATAATCTTACTCACTTGCTTTGTTATTACAGTTATATTTTTTATCGATAAATAAAACCACAATTTTGTTTTTTGTTTCATACTGAAATTGTTAATCCTCTCGCAGCAATATTTATTTGTTTATACACCATTAATATTCCATACGCTCTAATCGATCTAACAGCACATTAGTGTCCATGGTTATCAATATTTATGACTATTTATAGAGTTATTGTTGTTAAATTTGTTTCAACATTTACGTTTATTTAATTCACATTTAAAGTTTTAATAATAATTATTAATAATAAAAGAAACTCCACAATTTTTTATCGAGTTTGCATTTTATATTTTTCTTGTTTTTTTTTTTTTTGGTTTTTAGAAGTACAATAGGTCTGAATAGTTATAATACTAAAAAATATATCAATTATATTTTGCTCGTGTATTTGTTGATGTTGTTTTTTTTCGACGTTCGCCTGCCTATGACAGCATGCCCGTTATGACTCTCACGATGACGTTCGTAGGTTTGTATGAATGTAAAGTATGTCTGATACTTTTGCTTATAATTATACGCATATTCTTTTTTATACACATAAACATATATTTTTATATTTAACGTAATTTTTTCTAAATATTAATACCTTTTACAGTTGTAGAGTTGACTTATTTATTTATTTTTTGTTACGTAAATATTGCAATCGTTTATTATTTATTTTCAGTTTTTCATTTTTATTTTTGTTTTCATGTAAATTTTTTTAATGAATTGCTTTTAAATTTTTTATTTACTTGCTAAAAGTTTCAATTACCGCTAAATGTTATTGAAAACAACACACACGTACACAAAATATTTATGATTTCTTTGTAAAGTGGAGAAAGTTAAAAATTTATAAATGCAAAACTTTTATTTTAATTATGAATATTTGAACATTATTTTATATAAATATTTAACCTTCTAATGGAAAGTTGGTAAAATTTGCAACATTGATTGTTCTTACGTTCACTTATAAATATTTGTTTTTTTCTTTTTGTGTTTTCTTATATGTGTTTGTAATTTTACTCGTAAAAGAAACGCGAAATTTAACGCTAAACAGCATTTTATAAGATTTTGTCGTCCAGCGACTTTAAAATTAAGAAATTTCTCTTCATAATTTATGTTACCTGCTACATACATATAGATAAATACATATATGGAACTAAATCTATCGCTATATTCATCTTATTGTGACTTAACAGAATTGCACGATATGCTTACCTATGCTTCATCATTCAGCTAGGGGCTCCAGTGGTCATGAATGGGCTTATACGTATGTACATATATTTTCTTAATACTTCTTTCATAGCATTCGGCCATCTAATGTGATTTTTTCTAGTTACGATTATTTTTTTACGTAAGTAGTATGTTTGCTTAGTCGTTAGAGCAACTCTGCTGAATATTTTTCTTATATAAATATATTTAAATATTTACTAAACATGTCTTCATATTTTTCTGTGCGTTGAAGAAGTATCCTTATATATTAGTTATAGTTATAAGGACTGGCAATTATTATAATACAAAAAAAAAACTAAACAAAATAAATAAAAAATAATATAATTTATATAATTTTTCATAAAAAATTTAATTTGGCATTAGTTGTGTTTGATAAGAAAATAGCAATCACCAGCCATCAAGTTGAATCAAGGCGTAAACGAAAAGTCTCTCGCTTATAAAAAAATTAGTGAAGGAGAAATTCTTCAGCGCTTGCCAGGACCAAAAGAAGAAGAAGAAAACAAATCTGTTGAGCTTTGTTTAAAAATATGAGGTGAAGAGAAAAATACAGTTATATAGATATATGTAATTTAAAATTTCAGTTTTATAATTGCGGATTACGAACTGTGAGTTTAAAAAAAATAAATATTCGTATTCAGAATTATATTTACAAATTTCCAACACGCGCAGTCATAAACAAAACAAACTGCCAAACATATATAGTAATTATAAACAAAGCCTGCATTCTCGCATTTTTTTTGTTATAATAATTATCGATCAAAAATATCTCGAGAAAAAAGAAAGTATCTGCTATTAGAAATAATACTTTATTTCACTCCTGTATATTTGTTTTCAAGTGGCTGTAGTTCTTCCATTTTCATTTTCTTAATTACAGTTTTCTAAAATAAAAAAAAAAATTCTAGCAAAAGCTCTCAGCTTTCGACAAAAGCAACTGTTGATTTACTCTCTTAATTTCTCATACTTTAATGGCTATTTATGTACGGGAACAGTAAATCGCGTTAATTTAAGATAATTACCAACCATTATTATGTATATGTGTTATGAGAACGCAACTAATTATCGAAAAATATCGTGCTATCGAATAGGTTACTATCAGCAAATTGGCGGTGTCACAAAACCGATTGCTAAACACATGCTTTGTTTATAGCTTTTTGACAGTTTTGAAAGCTTAGACTTAGCATTTTACTTACGCCGCAATTTTTCAAATTATTTTGTTGATTAACTATATTATATCATCACAACACAAAAAAAAAATAAATTTATGAAGCTCAGATCTAATTTTAAAGCTAACAAATAAGAAATCAATATTTAAGATAAGTAACGTTTAAAAAGTATAACATACATGTATAACTATTCTTAATACAATTTTTTTTTGTTACTTTTTTATTTTAGTTACTAAGTAAACTTCATTCAATTTGATTTTTATAATTTTTTATGTTCTCTTTTAAGGTAAGGTACGTGGTACATCTCAATGCAATCAAAGTTTTGCTAATTTACAATTATATTTTATTGTACATATTATTTTTATTTATAATTAAAACACCATCAATTCGCTAGTTTTAAAAGTAAGTAACTTCAAATTTGTTTGTTTTTTCATTGACAATATTGTTTATCATATGAAAAACATATTTTAATGACATACATATGTATATGAAAAATGTTAAACAAACAACACCTGAGGGTCTAGGAATATTTACGCTACGTTTTCACTAAAATCTATACCTTTCTATGTTTCGAGATTAATAATATGTGTCATATTTTACATATTTTTATATATAAGTTTGTATGTACTTAGCATTTCATGAGTATTTAATATACATTTTTTAAAAGTAATTGTGATAATAAATAAATTTAGTTTTGGAAATTTTGCTTTAATTATATATAATAATTTTTATTATAAATAATAATAAATAATTACTAAGTTGAACTTATTAAAAATATTGTAATTTTTATTTGCATACAATTTTGTTTTTACTTTGCTTTTGCTGTATTAAGCTCGCTTGCAAAAAGAAATGTAAGCACTTATTTGAGCTGAAGTCTTATTACAGCCCATAATATTATCGCTTTCAAAGCAATAACTTCATAAAATGTTAAAAACAAAAATATTTAATTTTTTTAAAACTATTTATTTAACCCATTACTATCTCTTGAGCATAACGCTTTTGTGTAGGAGTGTCTACCTGAAGGTTACAATCATAATTTTACGAGTTCTCAGACCGCTATACTTCGATGAAATACCACAATACCAACTACCTATAAAGTAGAGTACTGTTATATTGAAATATTTGGATAATTATGGAAAGTTGATACTGGAGTCACCGAGATAACATTTCTCGAAAGAAGAAATCGATTGGCAACGAAGAAATCACTTCAACACACGTATCTTCAGGTTTGGGACCAAAACTTCCTGGATAATAGAGCATTCGAAGAACTATATTGACATATATATATGTATAGTCTCGTTTCAAAGTATTTTATGTCGCTCTGAGAACGACTTTGTTGTGATTTTCCTTAATAATGCTATCAAGTGATTCCGTAAATCCAATTAGCTTAGGTTCCGCTCTCTTAGTTTTACACTCTAAATTTCTATTTCTAAATTTAGACTTCTGTCTTTTCTGTCATCAAATAAAACTTGGCAGTTCTCGACAAATTTGTTTATTTCGGAATATTCACTGTGGAATCCAGCACAGTTTTAGATTGGTCAGTAACGCTAATAATAAGTTATATATGTGTTGTCTAAAGATAGTTATAATACATACATATATTATACCTAAACGTGACAATACCCATTTAAACATCTCTTTGAGTCTTCTCTGATTGAAAATTGGTCTCACTTTATGTTTCGATTTGGAACCGATTTGGGAGATTGAAAACTTCTTTTGGAGGCTCTTCCAAATATTAACGCAACAATAATATTGAATAATTTATCGGTTCTAATGAGCCAATCACTACATCTACATATATTTAGATAAAATAAGGTGGGTTACACCTTTACTAACTCAAGAATGACTATTAAATTAAAATATCGGAAAGATACACCTAAATTCATTTAGAAATATTTTGAGAAATGCCCGATAATCTAGCTGAATATTTTTAAGTTGTTTAGATAGTAATGGGTTATTACAACACACATACATATATACAATATATTTTTTTTTTGAAAACACCCCCTAAAGAGTCAGTTGTTGCCCTAAAAAAATTATCCAACTTAAAGAAGCTCTTTATTTTCAATTAAAGCTGTGCCTAAATCATTTTACTTTTTCTTCAAACGAAATGAATCTACAACTTTGAAAGTAAAGTGATATTCTAAAACAAAATTGTCCGCAGTTTTTTTCATACAAACATTTGTGACCATTCATTTGGTATATAATATTTACTGCATATAACTTTTAATGCAATATTTTTATGGAAAAAACTAACACGACCTGTTTTGTAGAGCAGAAAATTTTCAAAGTTGAAGGTTTACTTTCTTAAAGAAAAATTTCAAAAACTGCCATGTTGTATTCATAGGAAAAAAAACACGATTTAGGCACGGTTTAAACTGTAAATAAAGAGCTTATTTATGTTCAATTATTTTTTAAGGGGGAACAACGGAAACGGAAAGAGAAAATAACGGACAGCCTAAAATATATGTACATATGTATGTATATATATATGAGCATTTATACAGCAGTTCTACAGTTACTTCAGTGTAATTGTTTCTCATAGCAACTGAATATTATGTAACTAAATTCTTGGAAATTTGTTCAAAAACAAAAAAATAAATAAATTAAATAAAAAATTTATAATAATTTATATTATTTTATTTCAATTGTAGTTACTACTTTCATACATTGATTATTATATTACTTTCCTTATTATCCTTACCGTCGCTTATTTATTTCTTATTAAACACGCGTACACATACATAGCACAAACACACAGCATATGCATGTGTGTATGTATGTATGTTATGTAAGTAAGCGTATTTGCTGGGTGCACTTCAAAAATATACAAACATATACACATATTGTAAATACATATATATATTTAACCACTAATTTATCAATTCCTGATTTAATAATAATTAATTATGTCCTTTTTATCATCTCATCAAATTGTTAATTTTTGGTTTGGTTTGATTATTGGTGTATGAGTGTATAAGTAATTTCCATTGCTTGTTGAGTGATTTCAATTATTCCGTAAATAATTGGTGCATGGTGCATTTGGGAGATTAGAGCAGCGAACGCACAGTAGCGATGCTACAGTTGTTTTTTTCAGGTTTTTATTGCTGTTGTTATTTAGTTCATTTAATCTTATCGGTGTATCCTGTAAGCGGAAATAGAAAATTTTAATATATAATAATGTGCAGAATAGTGAAATAAAAAATGCATAATTCCAATTAAGCTCAAGCTAATACACATATATCTGTTTATATATATAATAAAACGCATATACTTCTATGTACAAATATACCATAAAGACATGCCGTATAACCGCAAATAAGTCAAAACTCACATACACCTCTGTGTATATAAATAAGTACACACTGCAATTGCAGCATAATCGCATTCACACATATACACTTGCACAGCTACAGTGTTGGTCGTAGGGTAGACGCATCAATTTTTGTCTTCAATAAACTGTTTTATTTGCTACCAGACCTGTTTTTGTTGGCCAAAATGTTTCTCTCATCAAAGTTCTCATCAAGCTCGAAAAAAAATGCTGATAGTCGGTTGGCTTGCGAATATTTAACTACAGATTTGAAAACTCTAGAAAGTTCGTTTTTTTCTCTTGTTTTAAAAATCTCAATTATTTTGATTAAAAATTTTAATTTTTTGATCTGAAATCTTTTGAATATTATTCTCAAAATTTCATTGAATAACCAATGCATTTTTTGCATTTCAACTTTTATTTAATCGAAATTAAAATAAATGATTATGAACTGAATACTTATCCAAGTACCAAGTACAGGTGCGTCTAACCTATTGCCGAATAGTGTACACAGGTATGTTTAATCCGCTACGCGCGGTACATTTCAATTAATGCGTTATTACACTGCTCGTTAAGCACATTTTGTGTGTGCGAACACATACTGAAATCTTCATATAAATACAATAAGTAAATACATATAAGCCACCGCTTATATAGATATTCCTTTCTACATGTGTAGGTGTCCTTTAAATTCCTCTAAATTTAGATTTAATTTGATTCACCCTACCGAAAACATTCACTTGTTGCACGCCCATACAAAACTCACACTCACACTTCCTCCGCGCGAGCACACATCCAAACAGCACCTCAGAGAATATGTAAATGCACAAGTTGCGGAACTGCATTTTTGATGTGCATACATACGCAGCTACATACATATGTATGAAGTTGTACATTTTCATTTCCAAGAACACATTTTCAAGATATGTAAGTATGTAATATATACCTCAATAAAATCCTTGTAGTCAAATCAACTAGTTATGAACTACTTTACAACTAGTAACATACGAAACAAAAGTCCAACTATTCAGAAATAGTATATTTAACTTTTTCCATAGAAAAACTGGTATATTTCACATGTTCATACTCTACGAGATGTCAGTTGTCAGCTTTAGGTTAGAAATATACCGATTCCAAATCAAGCGTCTTGTATCTTATTGCGGAGCTTAGTTATAGTAATTTATTTGTTTTTGATTAATGGCGTTTTGTGGGCGTGGCCGATTACGCCCATCTGCAATACCAACCGTCTTACGGTACCAAAAAATATGTGTAAAAAGTTTCATAAAGATAAATCAATTTTTACTCAAGTTACAGCTTGCACAGACGGACGGATAGACGGACAGACAGTCACTCGGATTTCAGCTCGTCTCTTCATCCTGATCATTTATATATATATAACCCTATATCTAACTCGATTAGTTTTAGGTGTTACAAACAACCGTGAGGGGCACAAAGCTATTATACTCTGTAGCAACAAGTTGTGAGAGTATAATAATGGAATTAACCTGCCGCCATTCTTATTATAGTATTCAGAGAATTCTAGTTGTAAACTGTTATTTTTACGTGACTAGTTTGAGGTTTCATTGTAATTTAAAATTGCTGCGGATGAAATTTAAATTCTCAACCGACTCATTGTAATCCACTACGAACTCTGTTGTCTACTATCTCTACATGATTTGAACAAACAAAATCTTCATCTGTCGAATATCAACAAAACACGTACTTCTGATCTTATGTTCGGTTCGGACGATGTACTGCACTTTCTTAATTTCACATCTAATGGCATTCCCTGGTTTCAAGAAAGTTGCAAGTCAATTTATGTGTAGATAGATACTGCATATTGCCTATGAATATAAGATTGGGTTAATATTGAACGAGTGAAATGAATAATGATAGCAAACATTAACGGGATCTAATGTGTCGAATATCGTATGTACTTAGTATTTTATGACGTATAGGCCTTGAAAAAGGTACATTAAGTTTCCCACGAAATTTTTAACACCCAGAAGGAAACGTCTGAGACTCTATAAAGTATATATACATATATAAATGATCAGCGTGACAAGCTGAGTCGATTAAGCCATGTCCGTCCGTCTGTATATACGCGAACGAGTCCCTGAGTTTTCGAGATATCGTTCTGAAATTTGATGCTCATTTTATGGAACCACCGATATGGGACCACTATAGCATATAGCTGCTATACAAAGTGATAGGTCAAAATGAAGTCATTGTGTGGCAAATTATGTAAAATATCAGCATTTCTTTTACTGCAGAAGTTTTAATGTTCTTTAGAAATCCGCGAAATTTTCACGTCCTAGTCGTAGTCCTCTTTTCAACGCCCATTTGATAGAAATATGTCTCCTATGGGAAGCGGTCTCTAGTGAGCTTCACTTGATGAATTCATCTACCATACAGTTACCGAGCACATCGCTAAGCTTCACAAGGTACCCACATTAACTACTTATTAGAAACTTTGAAGGCATTGAAGACCATGAGAGCAATGCATTTGTATGTCTGTCTATCTGCCCTTGTAGTAAAATTTCTTACATCTAATTAAAACTCGTCTCCTGTTCAGTTTTTATACTGGGTATGACTAAATATATGAATATACTCTTATATATGCATACAAATATTCCTACGCATGGTTAAATGAGCATGTGCACCTTTTGTGTGCCGTTGTTTGTGCCAATTTCCTTCCGTTTACCACGGAAAGTGGAAATGCGCTAGGAAAGTCATTGTTGTTGCTGGCATTTTGTTGCGCTTTCTGGTTTTTACACACTTGCAGTTCTTCTCCATTCGCTTTCTGCTTTCTTGTTTGGCTCTACCACCGAGCAATTTGCTACTTTTTGTAAATTTTTAATTCTTCCTTATTTTTTTTCTTGCTTGCTTGTAAGCTCTGCTTGCATTCATTTTCTGCGTGTGTTCGTACGTGGGTTTCGTACTCCGCCCCCTTAGCTTTTTGTTCGCACCGTATGCTCGAATTTTGTTGCTTAAGTTTTGCTCTTTATTATTAAAATAAAAGTCATAGATGTGCTTTAACATCAAAAGTTCATGGTAATGTACCGTTACGTGAAAGTGTATTTCATTATATACATTAAAAACGCATTTCCCTTTATACACCCTTTTTACTTGTATATGGTAGAATTTAATATGCTTTAAGTGCGACGTTAAAGAAGCTTTACTCTGGTTCGCTTATTCTATTGTTAAAACCCTTATGGGATAATCGGTAGTTATTTCTTATATGGAAATCATTTAGCTTCACTTATAAGCTTCACTTCTGGCATGCAGATTGGGAGTGGAAATTATGCTCTCAATAATCATCTAACGGTATTTGAGTATATTAGCACATATACGCAGCTCAAATTGCTTTGATGAGTTTGTGGAGAGTTATTTCTCAGGACACTAATATATTTTCGAAAGTAATGCTTCCATATCATTTTAAATTGTGCCAATTTTGGCTTGATTCTTTTAGTCCAAATTAATTTTTGATCTTTTTGTAACTTCCAAATTATAAACTTTTCAAGTCCATCAATAGTTCATATCCAGTAATTGATAAGGTCTCCATGATTACCACTTAAGTGTACAAAATATCTAAAAATTATTTATCATATCTGAGTATTTAAGGTACAAGCACATGGGTCTTCTCCAAATTTATACTCACGTTCTTCTTGGCTGATGAATGGATCCATCGCACTCTGCGTTAATGCATGTCAAGGAGAGTAGTAAAAAAGTAATTTTCTCCAGTGTTCTATGTTGTATGAACCAATGTTTTTTCGCAACGTGTTCAAAATCACTAAAAAATGTTTTTCCGCTTGTGACTGAGCCACATGAAATACAAGGCTTAAAAGACAAGTGTAGTAGCAGTTATGATTGATCTTCTAACTCTTTTGATCTTTAAAAATACTTTTACCTAGTTTGAGGCTCTCACAACGTTACTCAGTGACCGTATTTTTATTCTTCGATTGTTCAATATACGATACGTTCAATACGACTTCAGGAAAATTAACAACGATTTGGGATCTTTCCGAATTTGCTCAAATTATCCAAAAATTACTGGCATAGCGCGTAATTTATGTCCTCTGTCTTTGCTTTTATTAGATAGGTAGAACTCTCCTCGTTAGGTGCGAGATATCCATGTTTTGACTTTTGCAACCTGATTTTGTCCGTTAATCTTTGCTAATCTGTGAAAATCACATGAAAATGCAAACGAATAGAAGCTATCATCAGCAGTTGTGTGCTCTATAAATAAAAAAGCTCATCCCAACAAAACATCAAAGCAACGTCAGGAAGAAGTGACCGAGTACGGATTGAAATTCCGGAACCTGCTACGATACAGCACTCCAATTTGTCCCTTTGTTAATTGAGTTATCGATCAGGGTTGAACAGAACATCGGAGATATTCATATAATGCTGTACGACTTTTACTGTCCATCTCTTCAATCGCATTAAAATGATCGAGTATGCAAAATATGCCAATAAAGGCAATCATTGGATATGCATATTGCAAAATGACAAATTTTCTGGTTTTGAAAATATTGAGTGGTTCAATAAATTTCCTGCCTGAAATTGATTATATTACAAAATTGAATTCAGAACCCATGAACTGAATATTTTGATGATTAATCATGTTAATTTTACAATGTCAATATTTATTTTTGTTCTGAAAACTGACTCTTGCAATCCTAGTTTTATTTTCAAAATACATATAAATTTATATTTTAGTTCAGACCTAATTTTGCATTCATATATTTCATTATACGAACGCAAAATAGTACAAAAATAAATAAAATAAGATCTTATTCCATACTTTATAGTGCCTTTTCCATTATTATTACAAATTAATTACGCGTTCCTCTAGTTTTAGTGTCACTTAGTTATAACAGTACATTTCGGCTAAATGTGAATTTTCCGGCATTACGTAACAAATGGCTAGGAGAGAGGGGGGCTCGAACGATTTGTTTTGCGGTTAGGGAGAGGTGTCAGAAATTGCGAAAAAATGCGTTACGTAATACTTGAACGACCGCGTACAACTTTTTATGGCTTTGCAGGTAAAACCTAAAACTCTGCGAACATACGAGAAGATTTATGCATATTGAACTATTTATTTGCTTATGTGCATGTATGTGCACATATGTACATATGTAGGCCTAGAAGGATGTACATACATACAAACAACAATTGTTGACAAACACGTCTTTTCAAGAAACAAATAGTAATCCCAAAAATATACAATATACTGCTAACGTGAATATAAATTACCACGTTGAGGTTATAAAAAGTCCAAACTGATTCACTGCGTTTGGAACTTTTTTTGTGCACACTCATATATATTTACCAATGCAAATGTTACAGAACAAAGTCCAACAATAAACGGCTTAACTTTTTTCCCAACTGATAAAGCTTTCAACACGATGTAATATTAGATATTGCGGCTTAGACGTATTTAGCACAAACCGCTGCCGGGCCATTGCCATGTTTTGTGTGTATTCTGTGTCACTTACATATGTATGCAAGGTGGTTAACTAAAGTGAAATATAATTTTTCCCATATTACGTTCTACAATTGACTCTACGCATACGTTGTACTATACTTTATACTAACAACATATATACATACAATATGTATACTCTAATTTTAAGAGCTTAGTATTTCCTAGAGTAATAGCTTTTAAACTAGCTGTCAAACAAGCTGTCAAGTTCATTTTGATATTTCTGTTTGACATTAATGCTTAATATATTTTGCCAAATTACTTTACAAATATTTGCAGCGCAACAAATTTAAAAATGTTGCGTAGTTGCTGTGTTAAGACCGCTGACATAAATCTTTTTATTAATTTTTAGAAGGTTTATGTTATGGGTAGTAAACTAATTATTTTTTAGAAATCAAAATCTTACACTTGTTTCATATCTTATACCACCAACATATATACAATTTCAAACCCAAATTTATATTTCTCCTGACTTAACTTGTTGAACTTTTACTCAATGGTTCTATTTGGTCAAGTCTGGCCTTCTCAATAAGCAGTCAGCGAAAAGTTGCAGCGAAAAATATAGGGCCCACATTAGTATATTTTAAAGCAGATGATAATTCTACAAAGTTATTTTTGCAATTTCCTGCACGGAAATGTTAAACGCAGACATTTATATGCATATATGCATGTATGTAACAAACGGATATAACATGTGAGGGAATGAAGAAATAATATCAACGGTGGTAATATGAGCCCAAGAGAAAAATGAAAAACGTTCAAGCAGTTGCAGCAACTCATTTAAATATTCCTTGATTTTGAAACGTAAACATATAAGCGCACATCTGCTCCATACGTTACATACATATATGTATGTACATATGCGTAGTATACTTATGTATTCAAGAAAATCATAGTAATTTTTTCGCAGCCACTAGGGAAGGCCAAGGACACGGCCTAGTAGCTGTGACTATCTACGAATGCACAAATATATATATGTGAATCCATTGAGGCAGCTTCTTCGATATACCTATTTTCTAAATTTTACCCCAGTGCGTATGAGCAACTTATTGTAAAGTGTTTGCAATAAAGACAACTAATGACATGTCATAAGTTTGAATATTTATTTTTATTCTAATAACGCATTCTGATTTTTTTTTTTTTAGCTATGTGGAATATATTTCTTTACTTTCATGAATGAAAAATAGATATTTATGTAGAAAATCAACAATCCAAGATTAAGGTAAATTTTAAATAACCAGAGACCGTAATCATTATAAGTTTTATACTATAACATAAATTTGATCCTTCATAAGGCATCTGTGATCTAGAAGAGAGTTTTATATTGAGCAAAAACAAATTAAAATTAAAATCATAAAAAAATAATAATAATTTTTGGTGATTTGTTTTTTTTTTTAACTTAAAAATAATGATTATGAACGTGACGTTATGTGTTTTTTGTATGTCGATTCTAAGAAACTAAATTTTTCATTTAAAAAAAGTTGTAGTGGGTATAATAGTGAAATTTTTTATAAGCTCATTTTATACGAGATATAATTTTTGTTACTAGTTCAAATTTGAATATTTATTACGAATATTAAAAGTGAAAAGTCGCTCGAGGATATCTTTGAAGCAGTTGAATAAATAGTTTGCGACAATTCAATACAAATCTAGTTCTTTTCAATATCTGGGATAACTTTTCATACTGAAGTTCCACAATAATAATGAAAAATGCATTTTTCCTATTTTCGAAACAATGAAATCGTGCTTATATGTGGAAGGACTCTTATGTAATTTAAAATTTTGTCAAATCGAAACCTGGTCTGCTCCATTTCCTTTATATTCTACACAAGTACAAAAATTAAGTTCGAATCGGAATATATTAAACTATTTAGGCAACCTATTGACTGTACTTTATTTTGTACACCATTACGTATGAGCAATTTAAAGTACATGCTATTGTATATAAGCGTTATCTAAAATTTTGGTTTGCATTTTTTATAGTAGTAAAGAGTTATATTTACAAAAAAATTTAAATTTTACCAAATTTTATTAAAATAACCGATACATTCTTTATTTTTTACTATATCTCAAGCAGCAAAATCATTATATATTGTAATATGTACTATAGGGAAATAAATGCTGGAGTTATTCATTGACCGATTCCACCCATTTTTGGAACTAAACTGTAGTATCTCTGATTATACATTCCCTTAGTTTTACTCAATGACAAACAACTCAAATATCTTTTACTTTTTACTAGGTATATTTTGGCTAGGGTAAATACTGAAGCAATTTTATTATTTATTAACACCAGATCACACTATTTTAAGGAAATCATTGGTGCTTCTTTTACATTTTTTTTTAATTAAAAAATAAGACAGTATGGGTGGTTGCTTGCTTATTTTCAAACTATAACATAGGTGAAGATTCATCAAGGTAATAAAATTTCCTTAAAATTGATCGAGTATTTGCTGAGATATGTGCTTTCACTTAAAAAAGGGTGATACCGCGCTCATTACCCATTTTTTATAGCAATTTAATAGCATTCCTTCCGTGGCATCTTTACTGTTTAATGTTTTTAACATGTTGTTTTAGCGAGTTAACGCACTTTTAGTAGCTTTCAGCATAATCTTTTTATGTGACTTTGTGCATTAAGATTTCACCTAATTTCATATCATATAATGAAATGCTAAAATAAAAAATGTTCCATCAAGTTTGACTGATATACATTTAGATTAAATTTAATATAATGGGTAGTTTAGTTTAATTTTTTAGTTTAATTTGTGATAGCACTTTATTGTTTTTACCAACCTCCTGAAATTGCCAAGTAATACCTCAATTTTTACTCAAGTCATCGCTGGATGTAGATCCTGATCCTCAATATCTACTACGATCAGTTTTAGGTGTAACAAACAACAGTTAAGTGAACAAAAGTTGTACACCCTGTGCAATATGTTGCAAGAGTATCAAAATTAGTTGCTGTCAATGAAGAAGCTTGCTGAGTCACATATATTACCGGTACATTTCGGTATGATTAGGCATTAGTACGAAGAGCATAAATAAGATTTGAATTTGTATGGTCTTAAACAAAGAAGCGACTAAAACGAGGTCAATGTCGATTCTTCTCATAGATTATTATTACACAAGACTATATATCCAGGGAATAAAATATGCTTCAAAAATTTATTTTATGGTATTGAAATGTACACAAATTAATATTAAATGTATGGTATGAATTAAAATTATTTGTTTTTATGTCAAGCAATATTTACTTACTCATATTTGTTGTTATTTTCTAACCATTGAAAGAATTTGGTATTGAGGTTGACCATTATCCACATGCTTATGCAAGCGTTGCTTTCCCCTTCACCTCTCCCTGAATATATCTCTGCTTATGCACTACTCTTTACTTTTCAAACAATAGAAATCGAGTAAACTGAAAATATAAAGTAATTTCTTTTTCTCTCCAACGTCCCCCTTCGGCTGACCTTTGGCAAATTTGTGACCCGCACAGCATCAATGTTCTTGCCATTAAACGCATATCTACCTGCACAAATAACTAGCAAATCGCTGGACTTGTGACTCTTTGTGTGGCCTCACACCATTTGGGAATACGGAAATGTTGATGATTGCTTCCACATTTTGCTACCAAATTGAGCTAGACCGTATTGTTGACTCACGCTGTGCACTGTTGACATTTCCGGTTGGCCATTGCTATTCGGTTGACTTCTAAACCGACCATAGGCACAGCCACCAAACGTGCCACACCACAATGCGCGCTACAATCTCGCTTTTGCACTGTTGGAGTCACTGAAGCCGCCTCGTCGCCAGTTCAACAGTCCAGCGATTGCCAGCAGAGCAATGCGCCAAAACGTGAAACTAAATTGCTGTGCCATGATGTTGATGATCCATTACCAGGTGCCGTTGTCGCTGCTGTTGTTGTTTCAGCTGTTGTGCCCTCCAAACTGCCCGTTACTGTTTTTTGCTTTTTGCTATTGCCGCTGCACTTCTGCTTAATTGTGTTGCTGCTAATTTGACTAACATTTTTCTCATCTTTTTTGTTCTTGCTGCCATTGATGTCGATGATATTATTAGTTTTGAGTATGATGGTCGTGGGCCGATTGGTGGGGTAGGGGGACGTTGTTATAATTTATGTTTGCACTGGCACATTATTCTCAGTCTCCTGCAGTACTGGTGCCGTCCACACACCACTGCCGGCACGTTTTCGTGTCTGCACAATGCCATCCATGATGTCCAGTTGTAAATTGTGGATGCTGCCTCGATGATCGGTAAGTGGTGGTCCTTGAATAATACTGCCACGTCGGCTGCCACTGCTATAGAAAGGGAGAGGGAGAGCGATAGCAATATTACTTAAAGAAACTTTCAAAAAAGAGAAAGCAATATAATATATATGTTTTCAATCCTAATACCAATCCTCAATGTCCAAACCTCAACATGGAATACTCAAAAATACTTCAGAAGCCTGCTTTAAGATACTCAAGAATTCTTCAGAAGACTACTATTTAAGCTCTATCTCTTCTCTCTGTTGAGTCGCGGTTAAAACGCTTTTCAATTTGAAGTAAATTAAATTTGAACTAACCAGCAATACGATCCTTACTCATCTAGGGCTTAGAATAGCGGAGTTCAGCATGTGAATTCTAAAATGTTATATTAATAGAAATAATACAAACTGAGATATAACGGTCGTTCCGGAACAGTCGAATAAAAGAAGATCTTGGTCGTGAATTTATGCATTTGAAAATCTTTTCGTGCTTTTGCATTTGGAATCTCACCATCAATTTGAACAAGAAAATACTCTCTATTGGTAATCGAAAATGAGATATCTTCATTCTTTATTAAGTCTCGAATTCGCGAATACTATTTTAATAAATTCAAATACAGTAGTAGCTAATATGGTTTAGAAGCAAAGTCAGGACTCTCTGGTGAATGCGTTGAAAAGTAGTGGAGAGACTTGTTGTAAAATTTAGATGAACCTGTTCTTCTCAAGCTTATAGGTAAATTAGCCCTGCCTATAAATATGTGTTTTTTCTGTGAGGATAAGTTCTGAAAAAGCCCATACAAGTAATGTGCCCCGCAGAGTCAAATTAAGACAGAAGAAGAGAAAGAAATATTTAACGCACGTCAACTACATTAGGCTTTCTTAATGCGCCTGGGCTGGGTGAGATAACATAGTGAGTAAGGCCACAATAGACCAAATAATACAGTGTATAATTCTTTTTATCCAATGTGATCTAAAAGCCAAATGGAACCTTCAATAACCTCTTCACTACATTTTTTAGCTAGATCTTAGGCTGTGGAATAGATCATTTTTCATCATTTATCAAAGCTAGACGTCTTAAACACAAGCGTTCTGTCAGATTTAGAATTCGGTAAGCAGTATCTAATGTTTGATTCTTCGGCTTGTGACACGTACCGAACTTAGAACGAGCTTATCTCTACAAAAAAAACCTCTACAAAATACATATTAAATATGTGATTTAGGATATATCAAGTTCTAAGGACTACAGTTTCGTTGATTAGAACTATGATGATATGCTATTATTAAACCTCCTCAAGATAATTACAATAATCGAAAAGACGGAATTTAGATTAGGTTTTGTTTCAAACGTAAGACATACGTCAAATATTCAATATTTGTCATGCTAAACCAACATATGCCACAAAAAGTATGAAATTCATTTCGGTTAAGTCCACCTGCGATTAATTGCACTTGCTTTTGTACTCACCTGAGCGGCATGCCTGTTAGCGACTCCCGTCGATTGCGACCAAACAATGTCGGTGGTACAGCAGAAATTGTAACAACCGAATGTCGGCGGCCACCCGCGGCGGGATTTGCTTTCTGCGACAATGTTGCTAGAAACTCCACTTCTTTCGGACTAAGCCCACCATTTTCGCCGCCCACCTCCGACAAACGACGCACCTGACTGGCTGTTATACCCTCGGTTATTTGCAGTGATGGCAAAGAATGTTTGCGTCGCTGTTGCATATCCGGAAATGGGCATAACAAATACGGATTGACGGGCGAGTCAGGCTCAGAATCGTCGCTTGTCGACTTGCGTGTGGCTCCTGTGGTATCAACACCACCGGCTGCGCCCTCCGCTCCCCTGCCATCCTCGATGGTATTTGTCTCTTCAACAACAATGAGCGGCTCTTGAGTGCTCAAACTGAAGACGGGCGTAAATGAGGAGCGACGCATTGCAGCGGTTGGAATGACAGCGGCAGCAGAGGTGGAGGCGGAAGTGGAGACGGAGGCGGACGCTGCCGGGTGCTCAATGGTGTTGATGGTGGATATGGTGGCAATGTTAAGAGTAGCAGTGATTTAACTGGTTTGCGTACGCAAGCGTATGCGTTATTTACGGGAGGGCGATGCGATTTGAGCGAAGCTCCTATTCACAGTTTTGAGAGTTGTCGATTAGTTGGCGTCTTTGTTGGCTAGTTCGCTTTTAACTGAAAGTGAATAAATTTGAAATTTATAAGTGATTCTGCTGGTAAATATAAATAAATATTTTAGTATTAGAAAATCAAAAAGAATTATTACAGTACATCCCTGTAATATATATTGTAAGTATAAGGTTCGTTCGGTTTTTACCTAAGAGATGGCGTTATTGTTCACGTACTAGTGTTACGTGTCGCATCATGTCATACTATACGGCGCTGAAAACGTGTTTATTCGCACTAAAAGTTTGCCTTTCACAGTTTTTCGATTGATTGATTCAGTAAGTTGTGAGCGCTCGTCGAAGAATGGATGGAGAGAAAATTCGCAATACAATTTTTCTTCGATCAAGGTGAATAAGCAGCCAAAGCGGCTGAAAAAATTAATTTAGTTTACCGGCCTGATACTGTAAACGAACGTGTAGCACAAAAGTGGTTTGCTAGATTTTGTTCCGGTAATTTCGATGTCAAAGATGCACCACGCGCGGGAGGCCGGTCGTCGAAAATTGCGATAAAATCATGGAAATAGTGGAAACAGACCGTCACGTGAGCACTTATTTAATGGCTGAGGAACTAAAGATAAGCCAGAAACCGTTTGGAACCATTTGCATAACCTTGGATTCAAAAAGAAGCTCGATGTTTGGGTTCCACACGAACTAACGCAAAAAACATGGTGGACCGAATTTCCATCTGCGAATCGCTGCTGAATCGCAACGAAATCGACCCGTTTCTGAAGCGGATTGTGACTGGCGATGAAAAATGGTTCACTTACGACGTCGTAGTCAAAGCTCGGGGATGCGGCCCAGACGGTGGCCAAGACTGGATTGACAGCCAGGAAGGATTTGCTGTGTGTTTGGTGGGATTGAAAAGGAATCATCTACTACGAGCTGCTCCCCTATAACAAAACGCGCAATTCGGCTCTCTACTGCCAACAACTGGACCGCTTGAAAGCAGCACTCATCCAGAAGAGGCCATCTTTGACCAACAGAGGCCGAATTGTGTTCCATCAGGACAACGCCAGACCACACACGTTTTTGGTAACACACATGTTTGGGAGGTCCTAATGCACCCACCTTATAGTCCGGACCTGGCACCAAGTGATTACCATCTTTTCCTGTCCATGGCGAACGCGCTTAATGTTGAGAAGTTGGCCTCAAAAGAGGCCTGTGAAAATTGGTTCTCCGAGTTTTTGTCAATAGGGACGCAGCCTTCTACGAGCGGAGTATAATGAAGTTGGCATCTCGTTGGCAACAAGTTTACGAACAAAACGGCGCATATTTGACTTAAATCGGACAAATGTACACATAGATATCATCTTTTGAAAATTCAATAAAAAACCGATCGAACTTTTTACTTGACCTAATAATATAATTATATTTTAGTCTATAAAAAAAAATATTCTTTTTAAAACTTAAAATAATTTTCATTTAATCTTTTATTTTACAAAAGAGAGCCTATTATTGTCTAACTTAATAAACTCACAGCCACTACAGTATTCAAGAAATACTTCAAAGCCAACTAAACGTTTATTCCTGTCGAAAATTAATTGCTTCCGTTAAATAGATTACGCCCTTCATTTAAGTGGCATTCCTTCGCTAATTAGTTTACGTAAGCTGTCTCCGCTTTCGTCAGCATTTCCTATTTGAAGCGTTACAGCAACTCGACAAATTGTCATTAATTGTTCTGGCCTCTTCCGACTGTTACATTATAAAATTAGAAAAGGCTAACAACTTTGTTTCAAACGGAATTTTGTTGCATTGCAGAAATATTACTCTCATTGAGAGCAGAAAAATATTTAAAAAATAACGCTTCATCTAAAATCTGAAAATATTTAATTTTTTATATTCCATATCTGAATCTTAAAAGGGTTATAACAATGAGTTCGTGAAGTCAATTTATATGTGGTACAAGAGAGAAATTTACTCTGCAGCGAGATGAAAACACCTCGAGACTTTACTTTCAACTGTTCTGATTTCACTGGAGATATTGTTATTCACCGCCTCGGCTGATTTCTGATGGTTTCAAACGCTACGTAACTAATCTAACCTTATAGAAAACATCCAATTTCGTCTACTGGCAACTATTGGAAAAATCAAGTTCGAACCCTTTGATACAACAATAATACTTTGGGCATAACAATTTATTTTTTGAAGAAAGAGAGAATATGAGTAAGGTTATGAGTAATATTTTGAGATCAAAGTTGTAACATTTGTATGTGCATACCTTGTTTATTAAATCTATTTATCTTATTAGATCTTTATCTTGATTTTGATTGGTCCATTTGCAGTTATATGTTATACTATGGTGTATACATTTTTGTGAGTCAGTTTAGATGGTAGCTGCCATGATATAGTGGAACGGATACATGTACAAAATTTCAGATCGATATCTCAGAAACTGAGGGATTAGTTCGCGTATGTGCAGACAGACGGGCATGGCTAAATCGACTGACGAGCTGAGGTATACTCTAAGCAAAGCTTAAATTTTAATTTAGAAGTCGGCTTAACAATTTTGAAAATTTAAATTTAAGCTTTTTTAAATGTAAGAGCATATATTATTCGTCTCCTTGCTAGACTACTAGGCTACTTCACGTCAGTTTTAATATCAACACTGACATCTTATTGTATGCAAACAAACATACATACATATGTACCTAACTGTATGCCCGTCGTAGGCGCATTTTATCACGTGCCGGCGATTGTTTTCTTTCTGCCTTTCTTCTTGGTAGTTTATTACTACGCTGTACACAAAGTAGAAACTACGGTGCTATTCTTTTTATTATTATTTCATTCTCCTGAAAGCATCACTGTGAGAAGTGAATTGCTGCCAACACTTATTCAACTGACGCGCAAACCAAAGCACTTTCTTCGAGAAACTTGACACTTATTGCAATTTACGAAGTCTCACTTTGTGTATGCACATTGCTATATGTGTCTGTAAATACATTTTTATTCGTGCTTAAATGCAAAAGACCCATAGAGAAATCAGATAGTTCAAGTTTGGTAGCAAATATATAAACACACACATCTGAGTGCGCGTAATTCTTGATCCCTTACCTTGTTGCTTTCAGGTCACAATGTTCAAGGCTTAATATAGTTATTGCAAATATCCGTTGCTAATTGATTACGTTTATTTCTCTGAAACTATGTATTTCTTTAAATCCATTAATTTTTTACTGACAATTTTTTTTTTTTCACAGACGTCATTTGCTTTTTAAATATAAATTGATGAGTAGTAATTTCGAAAACTACACTGAAAGTGTTTTTAAATTGAAATTGATATTAAATATGTGGAATATGTGCGAGCATATAAGTCGGTTGAAATCCTTTCACTGTGAGTACTTTTTATCGATATCGGTTTAATAACTTAGTTGTATGATCTTTACAGGTTTTACAATCATAGAGGATAACAGATGTTCTCAGATTCACACATACCAAACTAACATTTCTTTAAGATGCCTCACATATCTTTACAATTAATAAAGGGTATTTTTTTTAGACATGTGCTTTTGAAGAAGAAATTAAACGCATATAATTTAATGTTATGGCCAACAATTTAGCTTTATTACAAAAATAAGAGTTGACCATTATGTTTTAAATATTATCTCGGGCAAGCGGGCTGGCGCGAATAAATTTTATTTATTGTTTCGTTGGAACCAAAAGTCGTCTACTTCTTTGTTGACTGTAACATTATGGCCGACTCCATTTTTGAAGAAATATGGACCAATGATTTCCTCTACCCATGGGGCACATCTCAATAGTGACTGATGGATTATCATCACTCCAAATGCGTCAATTTGTTTTATTACTGTACGCATTCAACCAAAACTTGACTTCATCGCTGAACAACATTTTCTTGTGAAAATCGGGATTGGTGGCTATCTCGAACGAGCGCTTGATGGTCATTCGACTTCAATAGTTGCTCAAGTTGGATTTTGTAAGTAAAAAGTATTGCCTCATTGAACATCATACGTCTAAAAAAACACACCCGTTATATGAGTAGTCACTGCATTCAAAATATAATACAAAAAAAAGAAGAAACAATGTTAACTCGGCCTGCACCTTCACAGATACCTTTTGTATAGCATATAAGGGTATACAAAGAGTTTTTTCTTGATTTTGATCGTCTTATTTAAATGGCAGTTAGTTTTCCTTACAAAGACTTTAGTTCGATCGGTCAGTTTGTATTTATATGCAATAGTTGTTCGATCGGCAGTTCCAAAAAATTAGCAGTTTCTTGGTGAGGAAAAGATGTGTACAAAGTCACTTTATTCGCATATATATAGACGACTATGTCCGCTAAATGGACTCAGGATACCAATAGGAATGACGTGATTTTGACAGCTTGCGGCGGCCATGTTTGTGTACTGATTTGTGTCAAAGTGAGTTGTGTCAGGGTATTCAGTACGGTTTGCCGTTTCATTTTGATACAATGCTTGGAAATTGCCCCAGATTATTATGCAAATTCACGTTCATTGAAAACTTATCTTCTCAGATGAGGCTCATTTCTGCCTTATGGCTTTGTCTACAAACAAAATTGTCGCAAAAGGGGTGAGTGGAATTCTCGTGTGGTTCAGGAAACGTAAATACATCCCGAAAAATTTTACCGTTTGGTACGGATTGGGGTATGGTGGCATCATCGGCCGCCAAGATCATGCGACTTAACGTCTCTAGATTATTTTCTCTTGGCGTAAAGGGGTGGAGATATACAAACGGAACCGTGGTGGCCATTCGGGCAATATTTTGTTCAAATTATAAATGGCATAAAATTATCTGCGTAACAAAAAAAAAAAACACGTTCTTGTGTGTTTTATTGCATTTTAACATCACATCGTTCTTGTTTTTTAAACTTTGTAAAAGCGTTTATGCCAAGACTAAATATAATTCTTCATTACATAGCAAAGTGTTTTCTACATATTTCTTAGTCAATCAATAGTGCGATATCATGAAATATTCGTTCCAAATATAATACATAGTATACCACATCAACTATACTCTGAAACTCCTTTCAAAATG